CCCAGGCTTGGGTGCACGGACGAGCCCTCGCGCTGTCGTCAACCGCGGCAGCGACACGGGGCTCCGCGCGCCGACGGAGGCCCTTCGGCTTGAGACCGGCCCCGCCGCGCGCGGGACGCGGCCCGTCACCGGAGGAAGGTGCGTCTTCCCCCGGGGCTGCGGCTGCTCCGCCGGCGGAGTCCGGCGGCCGGGGCTGCGACGGCAGCGCCGCGGGAGAACGGCGGGGCTGGGGGCTACGGGCGGGACCGACCCCCGTCCGCCGGCGGGCCAGGAGGGGCGCGTGGGAGCAGGGAGCCGGGGGCGGTATCTGAACCGCCCGGTGCCCGGGGCGCGGTCCCGGGCGGTCTGTCCGGTCTGCTGCTCCCCCGTGACTGTCAAATCCAGAGCGATTTGAACACGTGCGGGCATCCCAATTCACATCGTATGAGCTTTCTTCCCTAAGCAGGAAGATTCATTTCAGAATAAACTGTAAAAACAACTTTAAACAAAGATTTGGGATCTGCTGGTGGATGCTGGTGGTCACGATCCCAATATCCACATCAAGGCCAAATGCACTATGTGGAAAGGTATTTTCCCTACATTTCCCCTCCACTCCCTCCCAAAGGGTTGAAGAATGAAAATTATTTTCATATGAATCTCCGATCATTTCACAGGCACAGAATATTCTTTACTTATTATATTGGTGCTGCTAAGCTTTGTACACTTTCCTCTGAAACTTTGAGCACTAGAGCAAGAGTACAGCATTCTCTGGCAAAATGTTTTCCACTCCATCCTATATCACTAGGCTGGGACATTAAAACAGCAGTTCATGGGCTACAGTCCTTCTAAAAATAAAAAAAAAAAATATATATATGGTATGTATGTGGCAAATACGGTAAATATGTTGTATTTCTACAAGGACTCAGAAAAAACAATCTGAAAGTTGCTTCTTGTCCTAATAATGATGAGATTCTAAGTCAAAGTTTCCAAACTGATGTGGTAAGTACTACAAAGTGACACTGTGCATTACAGCACGCACCCTCTGGAATCCTGGGTATGAACACTGCCCTGCTGTGAGTGGAATTACTCAGCAGCTTCTCTTGTTGAAGGTATCACCATGAACAAAGATTAGAAACTTCTTTTTTAGTTCCTGTTTCAGGCTTTGGTTATGTAGAGCAGCTTAAATTATCCCTGTGTAACGTATTTTTAAAAATTGGCCAGCACCCTCTGGTGGAAAAAAATGCAGAGACAAGATTTAGGGTTGTACCATACTGAGTTATTTGAAAAGGCTGGCAAAATGCATAGCCGAATAATGTCCCTTTAGACAATGCTATCAGTCATATCGTCTCCAAGATTTTTAATGAAATGTTTCTGTCCGTGGTTCATCTGACATTTGATTGAATGTTCAATTTACATTTTTCCTAAATCCATGCACAGTACAATTGAGATTTCAAACAGCTAATGAAATGTAGCATCTGTGGGATCAGGCTCCATTTTTCCTGCATTATTATTGCTGAAAGAAAACAAATTATTTGATATGTCGTGTTCATGGGCTATTCTAGCTTCACCACAAGTTGTTTTCAAGAAGTTTGTATTATGAAAAGTTAAACAATGCGGAGGGTGTCTGCGTGTGCACAAAGTCCCTCCCCATCTTTCTTACAACCCCCCTCTAACGAAAGTAGTCCCGATAGGCGGTTCAGGCTTAGTGTTACCTTGGATCAAGAAGTTCCAGGTTTTATTTAAAATTATGACCTATTAAGTAGTTTCAATAACCAAACTTTGTGTGTGCATTTGTCTGTCAGCATTGCTTGAAACTGATGGAGAGCAAACCTTTTTCAGGCTTTACCAAATTATACTTTGGAAAAAAGTTACTTTAATTTATACAAGACAATTCTTTTATTGGATATCTCTGCTGAAATAGCCGAAAGTATTTTCCAAGTTATTAGGTATGGACTCTAAACAAGGAGGTAAGTTGAAGTTTAACCACACGTACTGTACTATGGCACTGTAGTTATTGCCATGGATTGCAACTTTAAACAAATAGGAGCTACCCAAGGTCAATGGTGTATCCCCAGGTAGAACTAGATGAAGTGAGAATCCTGTGCAGCCAAAATGCAGCATAAGACTACCTAGAAAAAAGGGAGTTTAAAAAAATCCCTGAATAATTTCTAAGTGTTATGTGCAAAAAATATGAGAATTATTCTGATAGTCGAGTCATTTTTTTAAATCTTAAAATAAGCTGATATACACCACCACAATTTCTCTTATTTCCACATCTCCATGTGGACAAAACAGGTGGAGAAGGGGCCTTTGAAGCCAGTTGATGCAAGCAATTGACCTACATCGTCTCGTATCATCATCTGGGATTCCTCCGAGCCCACTGGAACTCCCTGTCTTTGTATCAGCTAATTTTTCCTTTCTATAAAAGGAGAGAAACCACTCTTAAGAAAGATTATTCAGATACTCTGAAGTTTTCTGATGTACTATGAATAGCTCTTGAACTGACAGACACTGTGGTTTACGTGGTGTGAGAATATGATTGTAACATCATCACTTCAGCTTTATTTGACAAGCTTGAAAAGTTTTGACTCATTAAACCTACAAAGACAGTTTTCTAATCTTGTTGCTTTGGTCATGTCCCTTCATTTTTTCCCAAGTTTTCTCTTCCAAAAGCAATTCTGTGTCTTCACCTTCAAGAGCTTTTCCATTAATCCTCAAGACATCTATTTTCTCACAATCAGATTTCACTTTTGACAGCCAGGATCACTACGTTCTCAAACAAGCACCTTGTACTTCCTCTGACACCACATCACACCCATGAATTCTCCATCAACCTCGCAAACTTGCCTCCAAAATCCATCCTCCACACCCCTCCTTTGTTTCAATGCCCAGAAAGTCCACTGTGGGCGACTGCAACTTGCTTCTCTGACCAAAACCCTTTTACCTTTTCCCCTTCTGGCAGCCTCTGCCGTCTCTGCTTTTGCACAGTGTGAGGCTGGGGAAGTGACACCAAACACGACAGCCTGGAACACAGGCCTGGCTCAGCACCACGGGACAGACGGACGGTCCCAGCGCGCCTGCTGCCTTGTGAGCCTTGTTATACTCGGTCATGCAGATCTTCCCAAATACTGTTTTACCCCTTTTTTTTTTTCTGATGCTGAAACTTACGATGTTCGGCAGAAAGGGAGATCTCTTGTACCCGCTCAGGGTTACAAGCTCCTGCACGCATCCTTCTCACATGGCTAGAAAAAAGCTGTTTGTGGGGTGGGCAGACAAGTAGGAACCTTCATAAAAGCACAACTTTTCTCTAATGCCCTTGACCAAACTCCATTACATTCAGGGCCAGGTGACCAGGACCAGTAGTTTACTGGTATCCATAGTGGCCTATTTTCATTTTGTTAGTGCTACAATTTTGTGCTTTTCAAAAGAATACAATTTTAAAACGTACACCCTGCCTCCTCTCCCCCTGCCCCCCCAAAAAGGCAATTTATAGGAAATAATGTTTTATTTCATTAACAATTCAAGTTACTTCTCTTAATTGCCAGTACCACTCGTGCTATAGGGCATACTGCTCAGGTGCTGTGTGCACGTTATGCACATGTTGCTCTGATGGTGCAAAGACACCCTGTTCTTACAGAAAATCACATCCCCAGAAGCACCAGACAGGTTCCACTTCTACCTGGAAGAAGTTCCCAGTTACTTTCCCTTCCCTCATCAGTCCCTAAAAGTTTGGTGCCCTTAGGAACGTTATCTGTTCTAAAGGATAAATGTATCTAGACCTTTAGAACTTAGATCTTGCACAGCACTGTAAGCAAAATACAGCAAGTTTGTTTTGCTTGACTAAAGCAAGTAAAGAACAGCCAACTGTGGAGGTTGGCTCCCAGGAGGAAGACTCACGCGTGCCTTCAAACAGAAACCACCTGCGGCCTCGCCGACTGAAAGCGCTTCCCACGAGGTGCCCGGTCTGTGCCTGACCCCGATACCTGCTCCAGCAAACCTGGCACCGGCAACGTGTCGGCCCAGCGTCGGCCCAGCGTCGGCCCGCGCTCCTCCCGACCACCCGTCTGCGCAGGAACAGCCACGGCCGCCCGCACCTCCCGTCCGTGGGCAACAACGGGAACAGCCAGTGTTTTCTGCAGGAACTGATGAGCAGCTTGACTCTAAAGGTTGTAACTGCATCACATTCCACAGACACCACCTGAAGGGCTCCCTGAGAAGATGAAACAATTCTACCAAATCAAACAAAACAAAACAAAGCAGGATGGAGGGGAAAGCACAAAGTACATTCTGTTCTGTCTCTGCTTTCCAGCTAAAAGTAACATCACATTTATTCCTCTCCTCACAGCCATGTCTTCTTTACCCCATTCTGAATTACTCGGATTTTCAGGGGATTTGAACAGATGTTTTGCTAAAACACTGAAGTCCTTCTCAACCTGCCCGTAGGGTCTCAGGGACCCAACCAACCCACCCTGCAACGTTACCCTGACCGAGGGGCTCAGACCCGGGCTGCAGGGAGAAATCCTGCCACCACCCCCGGTTTCTTGTTTTCCTCTGAGAGTTGGACAAGGTTTTGGAGCACAAACCCCAGATGATCAATGTGGGCAAAAAAGAGAAACTTCAAGAGTAGTTTGTCTCTACAAAGACTTTTGATTCCTCGTTGGGAATGAGTATTAAACTGCAACTTCTTATAACACTTCAGGAAAAGCATCTAAAATGCAAGTCCCTTTGTAATCAAATATCTAAATGTAGACACTGACACCACAGATTTGCTCTAGAAGCATTTTAATTTACAAACAGCAATTCCCATTGACTTTATACCATAAAAAAAGCAATTTACAAGCAAGAAACAATTTCATCAGAACAAAATAAAGCAGCACTGAAATATTCATGTCACAAATCTAAAAACAAAGTGAATACAAGATTAAAATATCATTTGAATAAATATTTTAAAATTCATGCTATAAAATAATCCTTAATGGCAAGTTATTAATTGTTACAGCATCAGCTTAGCTAGCTTCATTTACTTCATATGGTGATGAAGTGTGGACTTGTGAGGTTACCGGTTTATATTGCAAGATAATGACACCAAGTCAAGTCATTCAAACTGTTCAATTATTTATCATGAAAAACAACCATACAAATAAAAGTTATTTAAAAATACAATTTTTCAGTCAGAAACAAACACTGTTAAAATCGTGCAAGAGCTCTACCTCTAACCCGAGGGGCAGCGGGAGCTGTCGGTGCCATGAGAAGGGGAGACCCCGCTACGGCACCGACCCCGGCCCCCACGGCCCCCGGAGAGACGCAGGAACACGTCTCCCAGGCTCACTCCTTCCTTTAGCTTTTTTTTATTTAAAATGTAAACTTGCGTCACTTAAGTTAATGCTGTCACAGGGATGTGCAAGTAGTATTAAATCTACAATATTAAATACAACTATTCTGGCACTTGTTAAAATATACGTAAAATGCACACAGATTATAAACTTTGAACATTTTGAATGACTTTACTAGACTTCCAATTCAATCACTGAGTATTATGAAATTTACAATTAATGAAATAAACAGATTCATATAAAGAATTTACATAATTCCCCAAATACTTTCAAATATAAAATTTAATAAATAACCCTGACCAGTCAAAAAGCACCATTCAAGGGTAAAATTCCCTTGGAAAATAGATTAGGTGTTGCATATTTGAGTCCCTTTCAATGGTTTCACGTGAAACCTGTTTAGAAAAATGACAATAAAAGAATCACAGTAAACTAATATAAAAATTCAAATAAGATATATATATATATTTAAAGGTAAAGCTCATTCAATCTTTTCCCAGCCCTTGATTTTATTCCTGCTGTTCTTCCCATAATTCAGCCTAAACATACTAAGAGGCCTCAATGTTTTGTCTGAAAGTAAACCAAAGGCTTCAGCATAAAACAGGAATTTATGCTTGGGAAGACTGCGTTAAGAACTACCAATTTAGGCCTACAGTATCTTCTGCGGAACAGTGAACTGACAGTATCCTTTATGCTATCGAAAGGTTTCACGCTAAAAAAGCAGAGCCAATCTTGAGGCCTTATTGACCAGACTGAACTTTTATATACTGTAAATATTTACAAAGCTATTTTCTAAATATATTTACAAGTTTAAAAGAAATAGTGTGGAAGATAACTGATTAAGAAAATTAAAGTAACTGTTTAAAACCGCAAACATTAGCAAAGGTATAAAATCCTCTATTTTCACAGTTTGTCATAATAGGTTAAACATCTAGAGGAAAGGACACTGTCACTGTTTTCACATTTGTCTATAATTAAAAAGGTAGATTAAGAAGAGACTCAATTATGAACCAGCCTATATAATTTCATGATTTATTTTGCTGTCAAATATTACTTCACATATTTTATTGACTTCTGCATTTATTGTAAATGAAATGTGTAACAGCTCTGTGCTAACTTAAAACTGTACAGACACAAGACACCGTACAGTACTTCCATAATTTTCTTAAAATGACACAGCACACTCTGTTCTGGTGACTTGTGAAATGAACTTCAACCCGAAAATGCTTCATGTTTCATGAGAATGTTGATCCTGGCAAACCATTATGTGACAAGGCACAATTTAATTGCTGTTGCCAGGTTTGAAGTTCGTTTTCTACCAGAGTCACACACTTTGCAAGTGTAAATGTGATGCTCGGTGGTGTTCTACGCTCACCGACGCACGCACCCTCTGAAGCACGGCTGCCCGTCACAGCCCCGTGCTATGGCTTGATCATCACGAGCACTGCGAGCAGCGCAAGGGGGAAATGGCCTATAACACCAAGAGGAGCAAGTGGAACTCGCGGAATCATGATTTTGTAGAAAAAGGGATCATTTCCTGCCCCTTAACAGTCCCGTTACAATGTTTTGAACCTGAACCTGTACAATCAAAGTGATGGTTTTTTGTTTGTTTTTGTCAGAGACAATTTTGGATAAGTCACTCTTTGGTAAACTCAAACCATTTAAATACATTTACAAATACAAAGAACTAGATTTAAATAATGTTAAGATTGTGACACACAGAAATTCAAGAAATATAACAGTAGTACCCACATCCTGTTGTCCTCAACTCATACCTCCATGGATAAGGTCACACCAAAGGCACCACAGCACAGGTCCAAGACAAAGGGTTAAGAACTGTACATTTCTTGGATTTTGCCTGTCTCAAGCTTAATTCATCAAAACACATTTTTTTTTTTTGCAGTTAATTACTTAAAACAAACATTCAGGAAAAAAAACAGTATCAGAAACACCAACATGTTTTTAGGTGGGCAAACATACAGACTACCTTCCCTAGACACAGACACACACTTTCCCTCACTGCAAACAAAAGTTCTGTCCTTGCTTCAAGGAGAGAAACATCTCCCCACCCTCTGCCTCTTCATTTACGCAATTTTAGGACAAAGAGGCAAATCACATACTCAGTTTAACAGAAACTGCTCCAATGGAGCAGGTGGGGTTTACACTGTAAATCTGTACTTCATGAAATTAATTCTTATTGCAGACTGTCACAATATTAAGAGCTAGTGTATTTAATAAAGCTACTGCGCAAATACACCCCAACTTCCCAGGCGCCAGAAAAGCTTTACAAGATAGAAAACCTACCTCTTCGCTTTCCTGGAGTTTAGGAATGAGCTTTTGTTTTCTAAATTTCAGGAGTTAAACAGCATGTTCACAGGTGTATTTTCAATATTTGCTAAACAAACTTAAGGCCCAATTATAAAAAACTTGTATTTTAATCAAGCACATGATTAATTTAATTCTGTTCATCAGGTAGAATCTCACACAGTAGTGTTTGCCAGTTCATGCTTTTGAGGTCTCTTAAGCTATTGGTTTGTGTTTTCTCTTGTGGTGAGGGCTTTTTTTGTTGGGTTTTGTTTGTTTTGGATTTTTTTTGCCTTTTTTTTTTTTTTTTTTTTTTTTGCTTAACTGTTACCATTAGGTTTCACATTTAAATATTATACTGACCTAAATGATGAAGTTAGCACCATATTAAAAGGAACGTTTGGTGAAACAAAAGGATTTAGAGTATTTTTGAAGTTGTTGGTAGTTCCTTTATGCAGAAAACAACCACTGAAAATAGTAGGGAAGCCATAGCAACTCTGTAATACTCACACATGAAATAACAGACATATTGCTCGAAATTCCCATAGAGTATTTCTTTTTATACAAAAAAAAGTACAAATTCCAAGTGCTGATGCATCACTTGGAGCTTTAAGTAGGAAGTCAATGTGCACCTGAAAACAGCTCTCTGTGAAGAGACCTATTAAAACACTGCTTGGAAATACTGTAGTTTAAACTACATCATCTCTCTCGGGTTTTAACCAACCACGAAGAGGGACAAAGTTAAAGTTAATTACCTGGTATGGTTCTACAGTACGAAATGAAGGTAGATTCTGAGGCCAGCAAAAACACATTTAAAACCACAATGCTACTTTTAGCTTTGCTAATTATTTGTTTTTTAAATATATATATATATAGATATATCTATCTCTATATATATAAAAAGGTCAGCACCACAGGTTGTCCAGCTTGCATTCTAGACAACTAACAAAACCCCTCAACAACTTAACCATAATTTAATAGATTTATGGCATTTGGTTTACATATGTTATAAAGCAAAGCTATTAAAATAAAGTAAATCACTTTGCTCACTTCCGCACACAAATAGTTTAATAAAATGAAAACCAAACAACATTCTTTTAAAACCAAAACCATCCTCCTGAAGTCTGAAGTCCTAGATCCTAAGCAGAGAGGAGACCAGCAGTTGAAAGTCATATATAGTATAAACTTTGATGTAATTTTACATTCACCTCAACCAGAATAGGAAAAGTGAGAGCATTTTATATATATAAAGCAAATTTATATATATAAACAGACCAACTACCAAAACCAGTTAGTAAAAGCTAACAGATTTCATCGTGACACACAGAAGGAATCAAAGTTCCAATATTCTCTCTCCCCACTGCTGTGTAGCTCATTACCAGCAACAGCATTTAGGAAATAAGGGAGATTAGAGCTTCTCAGTGTGTCCAGCAGAGCTGCCAATCTTATTCTACTATCTTTCTCCACTGGAATTTGTGTCTTGCCAGATCAACCAGTGGGGACACTTCAGCAGACTCTTCCTATTCTTTCCCGAGCACACTGTCTTCTACATTTTGAGCATCTTCAAAGTTAAAAAACAAAATCAAAACAACCTAGCCTCCTTCAAAACCAAAGAATACGTATGTAATTCTTCTCCAGAAACCGTTTCAAACTGATTTCCAGAAGGTCAGGAAAATTAAAAGGCTGTTATACTTGTACTGAAGATTACTAAAAGAATAGCAGATTAAAAAAAAATACATTAGTAATGTGCTTGTTTGTGTTGCACTTAGAATGTAATATTTTAATCAGATGCGTTAGACATTGCATGAATTTCCATACTAGAATCCATAGCTTCAGAAGCTGAAGCATCATTATCTACTTTCTGTTCCACAAAAGCTTCTGTTCTGTCTGGAGACTCTACCCTGTTTCTTACTTCTGTTACCCCAGGGTGATTTTTTCGCAAATGCTGGTTTAGTGTACCCTGGAAAGGAAAACATTTTCCACAGATCTCACAGCGAAAGGGCTTGTCATCTGTGTGACCACGAATATGATACTCGAGTTGGTCCTTGCGGGTGTATTTCTTCCCACAAAACTTGCACACGAAAGGAGTTATTCCCATGTGCAACCGCATGTGTCGATCAAGGCTCCCTTTCTGGTTGAAAGACTTTCCACAGTAAATACAAATGAGCCTCTCGTTGTACGGATACCAGTGACCCCTTGTATTTCTTTCCCGTGGACTATTCTCATATCCTGGGTTACTCACCATGGCTTCACCATCAGCCCCTTGCACCAAGCCCTGGACATCACCGTGCAGGTGACCGGCGGGTACCCGTTTCTGGCGTGCACGGCCCCCTCGGAAGCAGCTCAGCATTGACCTGGAAGGGCTCGTATTGCTCAGGCTGCCAAAGGCTTCAGACACGCCTGCGGCCTGTGACGAGCCATGGGTAAATGAATAGACATGCTGTAAGACAGACCCATAGGAACCAACATTGACTGCCACCACTTGCTCTCCATCCACCATCTCGGTGTGGTACCCGTCATCGCCCAGGGAAGAGCTGTCTGAGCAGCTCGGCCGCTCAGACTTCTCCATTTTAACTTTCACCTCTGCAATCTGACTTTCCCTTACTATCAGGTCTCCTTGCTCATGATCCCCTTCAATCTGAATCTCATATTCAGAGATACTCCCGCTGCTTCCTCGATCCGAGTGCCCTTCTTCCTGCAGACGGCTGCGTAGGGCTTTGCCCGGAGCAGTTTCCATCCTGAGGTCACCGCCCGCTGCCGACTGTCGCACCTGAGAGCAATAGGGGGGAGAGATCTCAATGGGATTGGCAAAGTAGCTGCTGTCCTTGACTCCATTGCGATTTTCTGAATTGTCTTCAGCACCAACTGTGACAGAGTCAACGTCACCGACACTGATCTTGGAGTGAATGCTCTCCAGTATCTGTGTGCATTTGTCAATCACGCACTGCATCTGCAGAAAGCTGGCTGCGGTGAGAAAGCTCACAACGTCCTTCAGCTGTAAGGACATCCTTCCAGTGTAACAAAATGACAGCAACTGCTCAAAAACATTGGGATTTTTAATAACAGATATTGATAAGCCACTCATGGTGCTTAATGCCGAATGGTCACGGAAATAGGGAGAACTGGCAGCTAAAACAGCTTTGTGGGCTCGGAAGGGCTGACCCTGAATGTGCACAATTATGTCACACAGCTTCCCTTGCAGGCGGAGCTCATTCAACTGGCTCAGAACAGTGTTGCTGTACTCGGGCACATCAAACTGAATGAAACTGCTGCTGTCCATTTCTACTGATGTAAAGAGCAATCTGAAAGAAAAATGAGAAGATTTACAACTGAGACGGAACACAGTTTTCCATTTCAAAACCGAACGCTTGTACACGTTGAAGACAAATCATCGCATTGATCTGTTTAAGGTGTGTTACAACAAAACCCTTGGTATAAATAGTTGATATAATACAAAGAGTAGAGCCTTAATCTACCTATTTCTTGCATTTCTATAATTTGAATTATCCCTCTGCAATATTCACAATTCAATTGTCCATTAGAGTCTCCCTGGGACAGTCCATGTGCTAAAAGGAGCTTCACAATTTCGCTCCCCAGTAAGAACTGCAGAACAATATCCCCACCCTCCCAAAAGCATATTCACTTTATAGTCACTAGACAAGTTAAAAACTTCAGAACCTTTAGTAGGTCTTCAAGGCAGATACTACACTGATACTTGCAGGGAACTGCACTGTTAAATTGCTCAAGAATGACTTCTGGAAGGTATTTCATCAAGTTTGAAAAACTTGCTAAAGAAAAGCCACAGGCACAAATGTGTGTGTGTCTGTGTGCATACACACACACAAAAATATTAAAAAAACACATTCCATATGTCATATTTATGTGAGAGGAGACCAATATACTACACCAGTGACATTTCTGTTTAAACATGTGCCCCCTTAGAAAATAACCTCAGCAATTATTTTAAAAAAGTAAAAATCAATCTTTCAGTATTCACATCACAAAACAAGGAAATCCTAATAAAAGGAAACATTTAGTGTGGACTCAATTCCAAACTATTTACCCAGTGTGTCAGAGGTTCCCAGATAATAATCTATTTGTGTCAATATTTGAGGCAGCATTGGAAGGAAAAGTGTTTGAGCCACCCACGGACTTTCAATATTTTAAATTTCCGTTTGTAATTTTCATTTTTTCTTAAAAAAACAACCCACCATGATGTGAACTTTGAAGCTGATCTGACACAGCAGTGATTTCCTAGCTAGAATGATCTGACATCTAAACTCTAACCTCACTCAAAAGACATGGCTGCTCAGACTTGCCTGACACACTGGGAAAGGATGCTCCAAGAGGCTTTAGAGAAGTGTGTACATTTCAAAACAGGATCTAAAGAAAAGCACTTTACCAATTTTTCATAGAGCATTATCATAAAGAGCACATGGGTACGTGTCCCCTTGAGAGCGTCTATCTGTAGCAGACGTCACCTCACACTTCCAAGACCGGGCCCCTAATCAAGCACCCAACGACCCTCAGACTTTTATTGCTATACTTGTTCTAATTAATGCAGAAGTCTAAACACATAATGTTGCCACCATACCTGTTTCTCCAATTGAACAAACAGATCTCAACATCATCCATTGACTTCTGATGCAGGAAGCATGTCCAATGTATCACAACATACTAGTGGATTTTTTTTTTTCTATTTATGTCTTATGTTACATGCTGTAATGGGACATATGAACAATTTAAATCAAATTATGAAAATTCAAGCACTCTCAAAACAAAATCAACAGGTAGGAATATGATAAAAACCCCACAAGGAAGAAATGGAGCTGTATCAGTGGGGAAAATATGTTCTATATGCTCTTATATCTGACAAGGAAAATAAGGACTAAAGGGTGGTTAACAGAAGCGAGATGATGGCAGCCATCTATACAAAGGTAGCTTCGGCAGGAGAGTTCTTTTATTCAGCGAACAAAGCTACAAAACACCTCAGAGCTTGTGAGCTGACGTGAGTCAGAAATCAAACATTACATCAAACAATAAACCCAAGGGAACAGCGGAGCAGGCGAAGGCCAAAGGAACTGTGTTTTCTGAGCACCCTGCAGAGCCCTGCTGCCCTGGGGGGACGCAGGGCAAAGGAGGCACATGTTTGCCAGCCCCCCCATCCACGGGCAGCCCAGCCCCGCATCCCTGGGGCTCAGGAGCCAGGCAGAGGGGACACATCAGGACACTCCTGATGAAGCTGCTCTCTGCTGAGAGGAGGAAGAGCTGTTGTGAACCTGGGGTGACAAGCTGCCCAGGCTGAGGACTGCGTGCAGGCTACAAGACCAGTCCCCAACAGCCACGATTGGTCGTTCCTGCATCATTGAGGATCTTTGAGCTCAGGAACCAGATCTTGGTCAAGTCTCACACAAATCCCACCAGAAATTACTCCTTTTTTTTGGTGTGCTTAGAACGTACAGAAAGTTTGTCATACATAGAAAGCAGCCTCCCTCCTTGTCCCATACTTTCCCAAGGGCAAGTGGCAGCAAAATGGAGAACAATTTAGTGCAGGACAAAATGTTAAAATACAAACTGTCACCACTAGCACTAGGTCCAGACAGAAGGAATGAATTAAGGATAAGCACCCAAGTAGAAAGAAGATGGACGTTTTATGCCCTCCCGAGGAGGAAAAAAAAATATGTTCTTTTGATCACGGCATCTTAGCATCTCTAGGTGAATTCACACTCCCTAGGCCAGAGCCACACATTGAAAATGGACTGTAAACATGTACCACGAGAACCAGGAAGAGAGGGGTGCCAAGAGGAAAGGGACCCTCAGTGGTCCTTGCCCACCTCATCTCGGTTAGAACTGGTAATTATCTCTTGATAAGCAATTCTACATCCTTGTTGTCAGAGTTGTTTCATCTTTCTTTTGGGAAACAAAGAAACTTATTCTCCTTAAAATTTTAGGAGTAAACAGCACAGATCCTGGTAGTGAGTGGAGTGAACGATGCAGTTAAAGGTCTGTAAGTGTGGCTGTCAGGGTAGCAGATAAGCAGTGAAAACCAGAAATAGGGAACATACAGTATTGCTTTAAAAGCAAAGAAACAGATCAAGTACACAAAGCACAGCCCAAAAAGCAGTAGACAATGAGTTTCTGTACCCATCTGCTCTGAAAAAAAAAAGAAAGTGACCAAGCTACATCACGCACTTGTGACTTTTCCACCTTAGTTTCTTCCTTTGAAGACGCATGCTTCCTGCGATCTTGAAAACATCTGTAGACAGCTGGGGTTAAATAACAAGAATTTTGAACAGCAGCAGCACTTGACAGAAGGAACCCCTTCCTTTGCTTTCAGCCGAACTCTGAAACCTTGAGCTGAAGCGGTGCTGGACGTGCAGAGGCCGCGCTGGGGAGCAGGCAGGACCGCGGACCAACAGCACCGGGACTGCAGTAATTGTGCTGGGGTTGGTACCAGGGCACCCCAACTTCCTTCCATCAGTTTGGGAAGGCAAGACTGGTCCTTACCAGGTCAGAGAAGCAGGCACCACTAGCAATGTTTTACTGATAAATAATGGTTAGAAGAACAACAATCTCATTTATTCACATAAATCACCAACATAACTATCTAGAAAATGAAAGTAATCTTTAGATTATATTCTGATACACAAGAAGGTTTTATTTTATTTGCATAAAGAAGTTAGCCGCTCCACAATCAAATTCCAGTAGAATTAACCAAAATATTGTTCAGCAAGGTACCATACCATAACAATACTTAATTATTCATTAATGCTAGCAGACCAGTAGCTCTTTCAACACAGTATGATTTAAGGTTGAAATATTCCTGAAACAGTCCTGGAAGATCACTACAGTTGAAAAGGTTAATAAGAACCCCCAATTTTTTTAACAGCTTCCTCCAAGTTGGAATGTCTCCCTAACCTCTTCTCTGAGGTGATGCAAGCAGCATTAAACTGAAGCAGAAAGGTTATTCTAAAACACAAGTTAACTTTGGACACACCCACTGTATGATCTAAAGAAAAAGTTATCTCTACACTTAACCAGACAGTCATAAGGCTTCTCAAAGCCATGAGAATGTAAGTACTTTAATGCACATAACAATTCTTCATAGAATTAGCAGAGATGAAGGGAAAAAATTAATGTGTAGTCAGAAGTCAAGTCCAGCACCTTCCATGATATTTCAGCACGTACAGGGGTAACCTGTGCTCTTTAGGCCCAAGACCACTTTATAGCAGTTCAGAATGAAGACAATTATACAAACTCATGCATTTGGGGGAGTAGTGAGATCTAAGACAACTCATAGCAATATTAAGTACTCTCACTGCTAAAAAGTAAGGCACTTTGTTTTGCGTTAGCTTCCACCCCTGCCTGTGGGATAGTGTAATGGTAGGTTGAAGTCCTGTAAAATTTAAGATCACCTCTGGGGCACCTGTCTATGAATAGGTCTTCTCTTAACCTTCCTGCATACATAGATCAAAGTGTTTAAGGCTTTCATAGATATTATGTATGCAAGAAATTGAAGGCCTTCTAGCCGTGAAGCCCAGGTAGAAGTGGACACTGAGGTCACTGAGCCCGTGCAGTGCTCTGCGGAGCCTCCTGCCTATTTCTGTAGGGGATGATCCAGCCACACTAAAAAGAATCCTATCAATTCTCTTTGCCTCTGCATTACAATTATTCATCAGGGTCTTATACAGCAAACGTAGACCATAACACGAATTTACTAGTAGTGGATCGCTGCCCTATGTCTTCCAACAAACATGTTCACTGAAGTAACCTGTGAACATGAGAGTGACATGCATTTAACATTTCTCACTAGATTTCAAAACAAACTTACTCCAAAAATGATGTGCTATGAAAGCTCTTATTTCACTTAAAAAACCAAGAATAGATGGTGACAAAACACATTTGGTATTTACTTTTACTGACATCATACAGTAGCAGCAGGGAAGCATCATATAACTACAACGTGAAGCCGTGTGGCTGCCAACGTCGTATTAGTTTCTGCTTCTAAGTCTGCACCTGTTTGATTTCCTTCACTCACTGCTGTATGATTCGCTGCTCTCAGAGACAGGTGAATGATAGAAATTACACTCGTTTTAACTCACACAAAGGTGTGAGAAAAGATCCCTTGCATTTTCTTTAGTTAGCTCAGCAACGTGGGTTCCTTGGGAAAAAAACACACGTTACAAATCACTGCTGTTGTAGCATGTGTCTGAAAACAGAAATATATAGAGAAGTTAGGAGGATCATAGGGAAAATTGAGACTAAAACAAAAAAAAAGTTCTCCATGACATGTTGAATGGACACTCTGTACGTTACCACTCAGAATACAGAGAAAAGGCAAGAAAAAAAGCAGGTATTTGTATAGATCAGTGTATAGATCAGTCCTTCCCTGCATTTGGTAGGATTCAGTATTTACTGCACCACTTGGGAGAACTTAAGACATAATTGCAAAAATGTATCACCATTCAAGAGCATTTTAACTTAGGAATGGGACCCTATCTGCTGTGATCATGGAAGTTTTAGGGCAAAAATCTTCATCACCCTCACTCCTCTGGGTCTGCATTTGTCTTAGTCCTCAGATGGCAGCAGCCCCAGTAATTAGTGCCAGGGTACCCACGATGAGCTGCTGCCAGGCAGTCACAGCCCAGAGGCACTTCTAGGACAGTCCTCTTCAAATAATCTTTGAAAACAAGGAAGAAACAATTCCATGATTCTATGATTCTATCAGCAGTAAAACTGCAAGTATCTGCCTGACCACATTAAAATGATGGTTTCATACATTTTCTTTCAAAGCCTCCCTTGAGTGGAACACCACACAAGTACCGACTTGCTGCTCAGTATTTGTCATGTCAAACACCACCATTTCCTAAATCACTCTTATTTATACTCTTCTTTCCTGAACTCTTGGTTTCCAGAGAATTACAAAGCTGAATTCTAGAAGCATTATTATCCATAGAAGAATAAATCAAGCAATAATCTTTGCTTTGGTTGATTCGTATTCTTTGCTTTTAAGCTCACTCAAATATATTTAAACTTGGACAAAATGTAGATACAACTGGAGAGATTGCTGCATATAAACAAGAAATTTTGACATCTCAGAACAAGTAAGTGACTGTCATGGACTCAGTCAAAGTTTCACAAAGAGTTCATCTGCAGATCCTAAGAGATGCTACAGCACAACAGAAAATTCTGTCAATATTTCTGTTGCAGCATGAAGTTTTATTTTGTTTGCATTTTCTACAATAGGATAAGATGCACTACATTTACACCCTTTACATCTGCAGTGATCTCAAACCCCTTTCCAGCTTAGTCCAACACATCGCTCTGTTAGATTCACATCTAACAGGGAGATAAAACTACCTTATGATTAAAAACAGCTAGCACAAGCCCACGTTTACACATAAATGCCCTGCCTGAACTTTTGTTAAGCTCAGTACCGTTTTGAACAATCTATGGCATAGTTGATTCCCAATTCAAAAGTCATCCAAAAAAATCCCTGAATGAGAACTAAGCTACCTTTCTAGTAGTCTGATCACAGAGTAATAGAGAAGTTATGGAAACAACCAGATCTCAAAAGTAAATGGCTACGGAAGCAATTAGTTCCTTTCTTAACAAAATAGGATTTCAAATCCTCATTCCTCCAAAGCTTAACCATTCACAAATTGCTCTACAAATTTAATCCACAAGGTGTGTTAAGTGTAGGGGAAGTCTGAACTAAGCTAAACCCCCCTCCCATTGGAATCAAAGGAAATACAGACAGTTTGGCCAAAACTTGAAACAGCAATTTATCTGTAGCAAAGCTAAAATAAAAGGTGTGTGTCTCTTATTATTCATTGGAAAACAGCTTTGAAGATGAGTCTGCTTCACTTCTATTTTGTTATAGTAGTAGAGACTACACAATAGTGTAAAACTTCATTACAGTACCTCATAAAAATGCAGGAAAACCCCAGTTTTCCCAGAAAATGAAGCCAGTTGGTACAGGCTGAAATGCAGTTACTTGACAGCCCAGCTCTTGCAGGCTTTCCTGAGCAGGTGTCAATACACCACAGTGAAAACTCGGGCAGACATCCTCTACTCAAAGTATAAACGTCCCCAGTGAAACCGAGAGTAAAACTCCCTTCTGTCAGGTCTCCTAAAGCGCCACAGAACATTATCTGTCACTTGCACAGGTGAGCAATACATTAAATCCCTACACCTTTTGCAGAATTTTTCAACTGATTCAGACTTTTTTCTCACAAAAGTTAAAAAGGATTTCTTTTCACCTCACAAAGATTCACAACATGAGGAATAGAAAATCACTTGAAGGATTAGATGATTTTAACATCAAAATTAAAAACAATTAATTTATATGTGTCTACATATATATACACATACATACACACACGCTAATATCGGTAACGCTACAAACCTATTCCCAGTGCTTAGTATGGTGCAGCAGGGAAATTGTTGAAACTGCATTTCATAGAAAAAAACGCGGGAGCCTTTTTTGAGCAAATATCTAAAGAAAGCAGTTGTCCAAGGGCCAACTTTGTCCCTTACTCTTAAATTGTCTTCCTCACAATTGCTTGCCTGTATGCAAATGATTAAAATAGTAAAAATAAATTAACTATTGATACATAAACTAAATTTTACCCAATGATTAGAAACCTCAATACAAATAATCTCTAAATTTTGGCTCTAGAAGTCAAATTACTACAAAAGCAGTTATAGGTATATATCTACTTCTGAACACAGAAAAGTTACTAGAAGGCAAACTGGAAACAGCCAAGATCAGCAAAAGTACTTTATCAGATAAGTAAAGCAAAGAGGCATATTTATGATGAACTATAAATCAGCAAGATTTTACAAGTAATGATCTCAGACTCTTATTTTGCGCACAAATTCCATAACATACCCATTATATAATCCTAAATAGTTTACCGTCTACATTTTCTGAATATCTGACAACTTTGAGACATAGGCTTTAAGAAGCCACTATTGGTATAAAACCACAGCCGATACCAGGAGACTTGTGATGTATAAATACACCCCGAGCTTTAGCAAGTGTAGGGAGAGGGCTTCTGTACCTTCTGCTACAACAGTAATAAAAGATTTGCTGCCAAGGTAATACTTGGTTAGCATTATGCATTTTAATCCATTTATATTTTTTTTTATATAATTTTAGTCACTCTTCATCAAATCACAACTTTTTGGCTCCAACGTTTTTTCTAAGCAATTAAGTAGCTGCATTCTCTAGATATTAGCAAGGTTTTCTGCAGCAGATTTGAAGTGAAGCTCTGAAGGACACATTTTCATGGTATTTTCCCGATCCGCTATTCCCGACAGCCCGCACGCTCCCGCTGCCCGGGGACGGCACCCCCGCCGTGCAGGGACCGGCCTCTCCGGCAGCAGCGCGTTCGAGACTGCCCAGGCTCGTTCCGAATTCACTCTCAACTTTGGTCTGTTATAAAATAAAGTCAATTCTGTCCGCTGCGCGCACCGGCAGGGTGCGATTACAGAGACCGGGGCTCACTGGAGCTCCCAGCTCCTCCGACGGGGCAGCGGCGGCGGCAGGGGCCGCCAGCAGCGACACGGCTCCGCCCGGCCCGGCCCGCTCCGCCGGCGGCTCTGGGCCTCCCCGGCCGACCCGGGTCTGGCTTTGCCAACCCTCCCCACAGGCAAAGCCAGACCCGCACCCGGGACGCCGACTCGGATGACGGGGCGGCAGCGTCTGCCCAGACGAGGCCGGAGAGAGGCGAGCCCGGCGGCCGGGCCGGCGGCGGCGGCAGAGCGGCTGCCCG